TTCCCTTTTAACAGAAAAAGAAATGTGACTGACTAAATGTATATAAAGAGTATCTTTCATGAAAAAGAAATTGAATTATAGAAAGTTGACAGAAACCTAATGTTAAAGATGTACTAGAAATATTCTAGATGTAGCAGGAAGTAAGATAGATTGGGTCCTAAGTGTGGGCTCTACAGTAGAGTCTAGAGAAAGTCACTTGATGTCATGCTGTGCCCCTTCTTACAAAAGAGGGTGACATTGGTACCCATTTCATAAGTCACTGCAAAGATTAGTGATTTGATCCAGATGATGCTCATGACGGTCCTTGATCTTAATAGGCACCTGGTAGATATGAATGACTAATGCTATTATTTTAGTCCATGACTTCTGAGTGGGGAGATCACTCCTGAGAGACTCAAGCTCAGGTGCAGCTGAAACATTCTGCTGGTAGAATTAGCCAGTCTGGGGGAACTTCGCTGTCTCCTCTGTGAAGTTGCACAAGTCTTATTTTCCCTGTGTGTAAAGGGAGGCAACCTCCACACTGATTAATATGATTGGGTGACCGTTCTATATGATTATTGTGGCAAGTGGTCCAATGGGATGTTCTTTGTGGCTGGGATGAAGTCTTAGTTGGCTGAGAGGGAAAGAACCAGAAGGACATTTTGGTGGCTCCGGTAGGAGGAGGGAGACAACCCAGTCCTGATGGGTGAAGACAAGTGTTGGATGGAGCAGATAGCCAGCAGGTCTTCCAGGGCCTGGCTACTGAGATTGGAGGGACCAAAAGAGACACAGGTTGAGAAGGTGGATCTAGGGAAGAGTGGCCCATGGAGGGAAGGACTGGCTGACCTGACTGGTCCAGATGGAAAATCCATGCCCTCAGCCCTTACCCTCACTCTTCCTCAAATTCCAGGCTTTAAGGTCATAAGTAATCTTCCCTAATGTGACCATTTTGTCCTGGACCCAGGGTCAATAGCCTCTGCCTTACAATCTTCAGTTTAATCATGGGAACACCCACTGGGGAGATGTCTGTAAAGGTTGAAGGAATTGTGTTCCTCACTTTGCAGAACGCTGTGCAGGCCATGTCAGAGGAGGATTGGGATGGGCTCTCTTGTCCATACTGCTCCCAGTTTCACCTGGTAAGACTAACCCATATCTCGCATAATAAGGTAGCCTACCCTGAGCTTTGACCCAGTTTGGACTGAACCACAGATGGAAGTTGGAAGGAAAAGCAAGAGTGAACTAACTCCAGGACATCCAGCTGGGCCATGGGACATGCTGGAGAAGCAGAATGTGACACGCGACCTGCCCCTGAGTCCCTTACCACTAATGTCAGCATGTCTGGCAGGGGCTGGGTGAGATCATTGGCAAAGTTCTCAGTTGCTTCGAAGCAGCAGTCAGGGCTGAGGCCAGGTGCTGGGAGAGTAGAAATGGCTGAGCAAAGGGAGCAAGAAGTGCTTTGGGGGAACTAGAGGCATGCAGGCTGTGAGCGGAACAATTGGACCATTGGGACTTGCTCCCGACAAGGGAGCCCAACAAGACGTAAAGTCTCTGTGGAAGACAAGGACTTCCTCAAACTCTGGGTTGATTCAGAGTGGGAGTCCCTGACATAAGAGGTTGGGGAGTTGCCAGGATTCCAGGAAATCTATCCAATTAAACCTCTTCCCTTTATTTTAGATGAGTATCTGCTTCAAGGCAGTTGCTAGTGATAGGGACCCTTCTTATGAGTTGGAAGGGGTGGGGTAAGTTGAAAAAAAATGCAATGAACATCATTTACCAAGCTCTCAACTCCCCAATTGCTCTTCCAGTGTAGCCCGCCTGATAGGTCAGAAACCTTTTCTGCAGAGGGTTGTTTACTTGAAATGAATGATCTCACAAAGGTCAATATTTAATAGTGATTTGAGGAAGACATATTAAAGACAGAGCTGGGAGACACATTTCCTTAACTTCCATTCTAACACACTGCCAGCATGGTATGTTGGAGGACGGTATGTTGTCAAGGCAGAAAGAGCAGGTAGCATGGACCCTTGCTAACGGGGCACACAGCAAAATGGAGCTGACTTGGGGGATACTGACACACACGTTTGGTCCTCTGGTGTGATGTGCTGAGGGGTTAATTTGTGTCATGTTGGAATGCTCTAAAATGATGCTGGTTTTCTTGCACTGTTAACACTGCGTGTATATACCCATTACACAGTAGATTTCAGTCCTGCAGAATCTGCAGTTACAGAGAACCAACTGGACTTCTTTGCTTATACATAAGCTAGTGTTTCCAGGGAGAAGAGCCCTGGGTTATCAGGTTCAGGAACACCCCAAATTCTTTCCAAGCTCTCCATTTCCTGCAGGGCCTCTTGGGATCACTCTCTTCCAGAGGATACACAGCGAATACTGTCTCTTTAAATAGTAGAGGCTGAGAACCTCTCAGGCCACCATGACATATCCCAGCATTGGACCAGCCCCTGAATAAACTGGAAAGACGCCTAGTCCAGCCTCAGTCACAGGGAGCTCCACCAGAGAACATCCCAGGGAGCCTGACTGGAAGCAGCAGAGCTCAGATTCCTGTCTGCTGTGGGCATCTGCTGTCCTGTGGGGAGGGCTTGCCTTCCATCCTTTGCATTTGACTGCAAAGAAATCTGTGTGGAGGAAGGCGTTACACCGTTGTTCTGGTGAGTTTTATTGGCAAATGATGCCTCTGGGTAGTGTGAGTGGCAATTCAATTCCCATCCATTGTAGCCTGCCAATGGAAACGACTGTAATGGAGACAGCACAAAGGTACTGAAAATGACAGGGACTCCGGAGTTCTTAAGGTTTTGCTTAAAATCCAGGTGTGTATTTGGCTGGGGAGGCAAGAGAGTGGTCTGAGAGCACCTAGAACCTGAATACATCCAGATTGGAAGGGAAAGGGGCACCTAGGTGCCCCCCCCCCCACCCTAGTGCAAGCAGCAGTATTCACACTGCTGGCATTCGGGGCTGGGACATGGCCTCTCCACCTGTGGCCAGCAGGCTCTGGGTGTGGCTAGGCTTGCTCAGCACTTCCTCAGTAGCATTTCCTCTCGAGCCCTGAGAGATGGCCAGGAAGCAAGAGGCAGCAAGGGACAGATGGGGTCACCTTTCTGGCAGCTTGTGGTGTGTCTGTGACCCAGGAGATTGTTGACTAAACTACCAAGTTCAAACAATGGGGAGGAGCAGGCTGTGGCTGTGCCTACGGCCACCCCCTTTTCAGGGTGTGTAGGAGACCGCCTTTAGAAGTTCCCTGAAGAGACAGAAAGGGAAGAGAATCCAGCGTTAGAGACGATGCCACCGAGAACGCTTAGAACAGATGAAGTTTTAAGCAAGCAGGAGTGCAGCAGTGACTTCCAGGACACATCCAACCTGAAAATGACCCATAAAATAGAAGGCTTAGATCCATTTCCTCCCTCATTCCCAGGCCACGTGCACTCCCTCCATGTAGCCGTTTAGCTCTGGGTATTCTAATCTATTTTAGTGCAGAGGTGGACAGGCCTGCCTCGTAGGGCTGCGAACGTTAAATGTGGTATTCTTATAATAGGGGTGCGTTTGTGGCCTGGGCCTGCATTGTGTTCCAGACACACCGCTAAGGGCTTTGAGCATATCTTCTTGATGGATCACCACGCCCTTCAGCGCAGGCACCAGTAGCTCTTCCCAGAAACATTGAAAACATTGGAGCTGGTCAGTGAGTGCTTACAACGGGGAGGGAGCTGGCTGATTAGGTGTGCCTGAGTGCAGAGCCCGGACCTGAGCGCAGAGCTGGGACCTCAGCCAGTGCACACCTCATCTCCCCTCCTCCTCCTGTGTGTGCCAAGCCCAGGTAAAACACCTGGCGCAGACAGGCCATTGAATACAAATTTCGCGAGTATTCTTTTTCATCTGGTAAGAAAATTTAAAAGATCATTTGTCTGAAGAACCCTTCAGATTTATTTATTTATTTATATTTCATGAGCAAGAATCTACAGTTAGTTCAAATAGTGGCTACTTTCAAATAGCAAAATAATATGGAACTATTTGAGTCATCTAGGGCTTGATGACACACAACTCACTACTCATAATAGGTAGGGAGGGTGTGGATGTGCCGGTAGAGACTTTTAACATGTTGGCTCCTTGCTCAGTCTGCCGGACAGGACACAGGTGACCTGATGGCTACTTGGGCACATCTCCAAGAAGAGCTGGCTAGCCTCTCCCTCTATAACTCTGGGAGGGCCACACTCAGGCGGCTATGAATCAGCTAGTTTCTCTGGCTGATCTTCCGCACCTCTCTCAGATGGCCGGTTCCCTCACACCCCCTACCCTCCAGGCCAGGACTCCAGCCAAGACTGGGAGCCAGGCCAGATTGCCTCAGGCAAACTTCGCCTGGAGCTTATATGCGGTTGTAATCTGGTGTTTGCCAAAGCTAGGAGGAACCGGGTCCTAGGGCTCCCTGTCTCTTTGTCAACCTGCCCCTGGCCCTCCGATTCTGGTCCCAGCAGGGTCCTCTGAATCCCAAGAAGCCAGCACACTTTCTAGGTACAAACAGGAATAGCATGGCGGGGATGGGTGTTTTGGGGACAAGCCCAGTTAAGACCCCAGCGCAAGCGAGCCAGGTGTGCGAGGCCCCAGAGGTCCGGGCTGTGGGTAGGAGAGGGGATCCAGTCCCAGTAACCCCGCATGGGCACAGTCCACTTCGGTGCTCCCGGAAACCGAGCCCTGCGCAAATGCGGCATGATGCCCGGCAAGCTTTACCCATGTAGGAGTAGGGGGCGAAGGTATGATTTACTGGTCAACGGTAAATCAGTACCACAGAGCTAGGGGAGGTGGGAGGTGAGAAGCCCAGGGGCCTCCGGCTTCGAGTAAAAGTCTAGGTTTCGCCGAGATCTGCTTTTTCCGGAGTGTCTTTAAGTCCAAGTAACTGTCTCGGGCAGTCAGTCGGCGCCCCGCCCGCCGGCCCCCTCTCCTCGGGGAGGCCCGCCCTCCCGCACACGCTGACCCCGGGACACACCCTTCTGCAGCGACGCAAACAGGGCGTAGTTCCCGTTAAAGGGGAACGCCGGGAGCCTCCCACTGCCCCCTTGCTTTGCGCGCGCGCAGCCCCGCAGCACAGCTGTCTTTGGGGGACGCCAGCAACCCAGAGGTCGCACCGGAGTTTGTGCCCGAGGCCACACTGCTCTGAGACAGCTGTCTCTTTGAACTGCAAGTAAGTTGGTAGGGAAAGTGAAGGAGGTGGGGGGGGATAAACCTGTGCATCATCTGGAGATGGTGCCCTAGAGTGGTGACCGGGCTCCAGCCCCTCCACAGGGCCGTCTTGTGGCGGGAGCGCTGAGACCCCTGCCTGCTTACTTTCCTAGCCTTACCCCAGGGACACACCTAGGACTTGCCTCCACAGCATTCGGACCTCAGGGTGGTGGCGGTGTCTGGATAGAGGGTGGCTGGGGCAGCCATGCAATTCTTTCCAGACGATGTACTGTTAAAATACCTAGGATAGTATCCCAGACCTCTAGCCCTTCAGGTCCTAGCTACAGGCCTTATCTGTTCTTGCTCCCTGCTCCTTGAAGCCATCCGCTGTAATTTTAATTTTCTGTAAAGCATGGAAAAATCCTATTTATATCTGTGCATTCCTGGGTTTTTGATGTGTTCCTTGGGAGGAAAAGGGAGGTGTCTGGGATCGAATATTTGTCAAAACTATTCTGAAGTCTCCTTGGCCCAAGGTTCTGTCCTTAACTGGTCCACCCAGCTGCAGCCATCCAGGTCTTTTCACAGCTGTACACATTCGCTATGGATCACCCAAGCTTTAGCTCCCTAAAGTCTTGTGAAGTGAAGGGATAGGATCTCCGGACTTCAGAAAGACACCTTGCCAGTTCTGATCTGTGGGAATTCTCAGACTCAACCAGTCCTTTTACAGTCTCCTTCCCGCTAGTCAGCGGCACCCCAGGATAGGGCTCCTGGAGCATCCACTCGGGATGGAAAACTGGACGGGGTACGCGCGGGGGCCCTGCCTGTGGCGGGCTCAGTCTGGCTGTCCGTGGGGCCGTTGGGGGCGGCGGGGAGAGCGTGGAACTAGCTGGGCTGAAGGCCCTTAACCCCCTGGGGGGCGCAGGGAAGGCGCGGAGCCCCGCGCGCGGGAAGCTCGGGAGCCGGGCAGTCCTCCAGCCCGCCTGCTCTCCCGATCCCGGAGCTGCCAGCGTCTAGGCTGAGCCCAGGGCGGGGCGGCTCCTCTCCGCTGGCAAAACCCGGTGGAAACTTGGAGGCAAGTAACGGAACGCGAGGCACCCTGGGGTCTGGGAAAGCAGCCTCGGGCGGCGGGCGACCCCAAGCCGCTGGATACAATCCTGGCGCCACCCGCTGAGCCTTCCGCCCCCCGGGGGAATCCGCCCCGTGACTAGGGCAGGGATGTGGCCTCCCGAGTCCCACGAGCCCCGAGAGGCGCCCGGGCTGGGCGGAGGCTTGCTGTGGCCTCGGCTCATCCTTCTGGAAACTCCTCTCCAGCGCGCGCCTCCCGGGGTGATCGAGACGTGCGTACCACTGGCTTGTTTTGTTCCAAAGGCAAAAGATGTTTGATCGCGGGCGGGCGCTGGGCGGGGATAGGGATGGCGGCTGCCGCCCCCTCCCGGCCAGCTGGGCCCCCGGGCCAGGGCCGGAGGCCTCACACCCGCCTCCTTCTCCGTGCAGGCATCGCTCCACCGAGCCCGAGCCCAACTCCCAGTCACCATGCTCCTCCTGTTGTTGGGGATCCTGTTCCTCCACATCGCGGTGCTAGTGTTGCTGTTCGTCTCCACCATCGTCAGCGTGAGTGCGGGCGGGCGGGCAGGGGAGGCTCCCCGCGGGGCGGCAGCTATCCCTGCTCTGGGTTCCCAGGTGCTTCTCCAAGTGCCAAAGCTGGGATGAAAGTTGCAGACAGCTGAACATCTCAGAGGCCCAGGGACGTTTGGTTTGGCACTTTCTGGCCACCCTTTTCTTTTCAGTCCTGTGAGAAAGTCGGGCCAGAGTCAGCGGTAGCAAGTGAGCGAGAACTGCAGGAACTTAGCTGGTCAGGTTTTGAGCCAAAGGACAGCAGGGCAGATAACGTGGTTCTTGGCCGCCAGTTGATAAGATTGGGCTGCATTTTTTTTCCTCCTTGATGTAGCCTCTTTGAACTAGGTGGGCAATTTATAAAGTCTTACCCCACCCCCCAAATCATAGCTCAGACGAGTTGTTCCATTTATAAAACTCGTGAGGACTTGGAGTTATCAAGTTAAAATCGACTTATCTGGAAGGAAAGTTTGCAAGTCTCTAGGCAGTATTGCAGCAGGCTTGTAGTATCTTAGTGGACTGCCCTCCACTGATAAGAGCTGACCAGGGAAATGACTGGTTATGAAGCTGTCAAACACGGTGGATTAATTCATTTGTACGTTTATTTTCTTGCCAATGAAGATGGATGCTTCTGGCCTTAATGACTTAGTGTAAGGCAAGGTGGAAGGGTGGTTTCTGAGAAACAGGTTTGGGATTTGTAAGTTGCTTTGTTATTTACAAGGTCTTCATTATGGCCGTGGTTGATGCTCATCTTGACAGCAGTAGGAACGATCAGCTCCGTTGGCACAGGGCCTGGTTAGCAAGCCTGAAGCCTGGGTTCAGTTCCTAGCAGGGCTTGAACTTACATACAGTAGTGCATGCCTGTAATTTCAGCACTTCCTGAGGTAGAAGCAGAAGGGTCAGAAGTTCAAGGTCATCCTTGGCTATGCAGAGAGTTTGAGGACAGCCTGGTCTACATAAAACCCTGACCCCTCCACGCCTACTCAAGAAATATGTATGTAAAGAAGTAGTCTTAGAGAGGTCACAACTGGGAATGAGGCCCAGAAGGTATATGTGTGGGGGTGGGGGGGGTGGGGGTAGAGCTTGCGTGCAGTCGTCCTTGGGCAAGTCCCTGGTTCCTACTACGCCACAGGCCTCTTCGCGTGGTAGCATGTGTATATGTGGGTGTCTCTCTCTCTTTGTGTGATATCTTCCTATTTCCGAAGTGCTTTTCACACACAAAACACGACTCCCACCTCGACGTGGTATCTGTATCAGACTGTCACCTCTCATTCCTGGATCACAGTTGTGAACTTTACCAGGGAGTGGCCTGCGCTGAGGGCAGGAAGGGGGAGGGGCAGGCCTCCAGGTGATGAGGCTAGGGAGTGGCCCGTGCTGATCTCACTGGGCAGGATGGGGTAGGGCAGGCCTCCAGGTGACGGCTGCTCTGTCACCCTCACCCTGCCCCCCTTTTCCTCCCTCCTTCTTCACTGCTACACTGACTGGGGCGTTTGATTCTTTGCAGCAATGGCTCGTGGGCAATGGACACACGACTGATCTCTGGCAGAACTGCACCACGTCCTTCTCTGGAGCCGTCCAGCATTGCTCCTCATCCTCGGCAAGTGGTGAGGGACTAGTTTTGTGCTCTGCTCGGAGTGGTCCTGAGGGCTCTTCTTCTGCACCCCAAAAACATCAGTTCTTGAGGGTCTGGTCTAGAAAGGCCCTACTGGGGGGGGGGGGTGGAATGTGTCACAGAGTCACGAAACCAACATGAGAGGCAGGGCACAGCTGTCTCACGAGGGGGGTCTTTAGTATCACCGTGCCTCCGCCTGAGCCTGTCCCGGTCACTTTGTGTAATGGTCTTTGTGGGTAAAGAAATACGGACACAGGTAAGCAGAGGTGGTAACATGCCGGTTCACCGAAAGTCGATCCCATGGCACCAGCTGATACTGTGGACATACTTGGTTTGGTGACTCTCCATCAGAAATGTCCCGCGTCTTCTCACTGCAGCGTTAGGCAGTTGAGACTTCCGGAAGATGGCCTGGCCAGGTTTGCCCCCACCCCTGTTACCAGACAGCCTTCCTAGGTCTTGAGCCTCAGTGGTACCATTTAGCATCATAAGCTGAGCCCGTGGGCCCATCTCCATAGACTGTGTTTCTCCTCTGCTCTCACTATCTTTGGCTGTGGCTGAGAATGAAATTGAAGGAACACTAGGAGGGCTCCGCAGGGAGCCTGTGTAGAGGTGACTAGGGGGCTGTGCTGGTGGGTGTGTAGTCAGGAGAATTCTGCCAAGACATGGTCTTACGTTTCCAAGGATGGGTCCTAGGTTCAGGGAGGCCTGGAACTCTGGCTTTAAAAGGGCCAGTTAAGGACAGCTTCCAATCTTAACTGTAAACTGCTCTCTCATGTTCAGTTGAAGATGCCACACTCAGTGAGAGGGACTAGTTAATATCCAGCCCCACAGCAGGCAGTGAAGTGACTCTGGGCTCCCTGCAATCTGGTCCCTTGGTTGGGTTTTTCTTTCTTATAGACTCTGCAAGAGTATCATTGAAATGTATCAAATGAAAGACCCTAGACTCAGCAGAAATGGGAACTGGTAACATATTCATAGGGAGGACAGGTAAAAAGCTGTTTTAAAATTTCACCATTCTGGGGCTGGGGACAGGGCCAGACCCCAGTCCTTTTGAAATGGGTAGTTCTTCATCTGAGTGTGTGGGACACACTAAATTGAAACCATCCTAGAGGTTGCATGGTGAGTTGGCAGCCAAGTCAATGAGCACCACTCATGAGCGCCTGAGAACGTGATGAGAGCGCTCTTGGTCCCCCCCAAAGCCACAGCATCAGGTTTCAACCGCTTCAGCCTTAGGGTCTTGGCAGAAGTGCATTCAGAAGACATTCAGGATGTGCAGCTTCTGGCTCACCGCTGACACCTAGTGGTCAAAAGTGGCAAGACCGCCTGAAAAGTCAGCTTCCTCTGGGGCTTTGGCTCTGGTGTCCACAGGCGCTGTCCCCAAGTGGCATCTGGCCACGTGGGGTTGGCACAGAATCGGAGACTCTTTAGGCCCGGAAGGAGCAGTTTTGGCAGGCATATTAAAACCGCCTGAGTTTCAGCTGAAACGAGGAGGCAGAGGAACTGCTAAATTGTGTACATATTGTCTGTGAGAGAATGGCCAGTACAGCTGGGTAACCCGTTAATTGGCCCAAACTCTGCATCGTCCTACACAGTAAAAAGCTGTCCCGTGATGCCAGAAGCACACGTCAAAGACACTAGTGCTCTTTTACAGAGGAAACTTGCCTCTCAACTTCTCTGTGCCTGACAGATTCATCTTCCGGGGTTCTAGCCTACAGTGATTCTGCTCCGTTTGTTAGTGTGTTCCGAGTCTGCCGGATGGCTTTTCTGGGAACCCCAGGTCATAGCTCTGACAATAATGGGCTTTTGAGGCATTCAGGAAAGGTCCCAAAGAAACCGGGCTTGTTTCCACTTGGGCTTATTCTAAATTAAGAGTTTCCATCTAAACTTCCCGAGTAGTAATTATCTCGATGACGTCTCCCCCGTGTGTCAGCAGGTTTCCAACTAAGCTCTGAGTGATCAGTCCCCTGGGCCTGCTTTGCCTGTTCCCTGGTGTTCAACAATGAGTAGTGCGACAATAGAGTTACAAAGTTACTTTTAAAACACTGGGCCACCTTCATGAATGAACTGTGTTGCGTTGTTCTCCAAATTAAATGAAAATGTGTTTGTTATTAGAATGTTGGGAGCATATTTTTTGGAGTAGTCATTATTGATAGTGATTTGTAAAGAAGAGGTATCAAGCATGTACCTCCATGTACATGGTAGGCTTCCTACCTCCCTTGGGGTTTTGCTACAGCCAAGGTTGGTCTTGAATTCTTGGGTTCAAGGGACTCCCCATGCCTCAGCTTCCCCGAGGAGCTGGGATACCATAGCCATATGCCACTGTTTAGCTCCCACCTGCTCTTTCTCTGAAGGGAATTGATGCTCTCTTCCTCTCTCTGGGGGGAGGGGGGATGCTCTGTTGTCATAGAAACCACGGCTATGTGGATGTGGACTGCTAGTGTGTCCTCTGAGGCAGCCCAGTGTCTACACTGTCAAGGCGGAAGGTGTATCAGGTCTTTTCTCAAAGCTGTCTCTTCACACTGGATCTGGTTCTACCTGTCCTTCTCGGGCCCTCAACCTCTTCCCATACTCTCAGTTTGTTTCCAAACTGATTCGCTTACTTTCTAAGTACTGCCTGCCTAATCCCTGTTGGAGGCAGAGGTGAACGGCTCTGTGGGGCCCACCCCAAGACTGGGGAGCTCCTGGCTTGGGCAGTCAGGGACCTTGCGGCTGCTGATTGATGCTGAACCTCGCTGAGGAGTCAGGATAAGTGTGGGGGCATGAGTCACTCCCTGTGAAGGCACACTGGGCCAGGTGCCCGAGGAGAGGGGGCAGGCAGACTGCGCCAGAGTTCAGGAGGAAGTGGAGGGTAGTCTCCAGTGGGAGGCAGAATATGATCCCTCCTCCAAAGGGCAGGCAGGATTTAAGTAAATACAGGCAAGCGGGGAGATAGGCTCTGTCTGGACAGTGACCTACTGCAGGAAGACAGGACGTGGTAGACCAGTTGACTGGTATTCTGGTTAGTGTTAGGACTGTCTCCACCGGGCAGAACATCTTCAAATGTTAGCACCGCAAATGAGTTTATTTCCCCCTTTTTTGAGGAAGTCGGAGCACCGCAGCCCGAGAGATGCATGGGTTTCATGACATTTTTAGGAAACTAGGTACTTTCTAGGTACTTCGCCATCTTTTGGGCTTGGTTATCATCCCTCATGAATGTAAAGGCTGCTAGAGCTCTAGCTATCTCATCCATGTCCTCAACAGCAGGGTGAACAAAGCAGAGAAGAAAGAATGTACTCTTTCCACTTTTAATAGAGTGTGCCTGGAACACACATTTGTTCCTTCCTTTTGGTGGAGCTTAGTTACCAGGTCATGCCTTACACATTTACAAGAAGGCAGAGAAATGGAGTAGAATTGTCAACAGTTTCTCTCTCCCTCCCCCCTCCATCTCTCTCCCTTCCTCCCTCCTTTTCCATGCTCTCTTCCTCCATTTCCCTCCTCCTCCTCCTCCTCCTCAAGTGTAGTGAAATCTTGGAGTCCTTTATCAACGCTTGTGGAGCCTCGGTTTCTTCCAGTCCAGCCTGCTCTTCCAAACGCCAGACTTGTGTGTTCAGCCACCTGCCGGAGAGTTCTGCTAGGCTGTTTAAGAGGCCCCGCCCAAGTGGCCGTCTTCAGAGTCATCCTGCACCTTGGCCATTCTTTGCCACTGTCTAGTATCTTAGTGAAGAGTGCTCCACCGCCCAGCCTGCCCAGCAGGTGGAGGCCACCCTGTGCACACTACTCCTCCTTCCCAGAATCCCCGTTTCATAAGTCATCCCATCCTCTAACGTCTACAGTCACAGTCCCCGACTTGGGAGAGCCACCGAGGCAGCTTCTGACTAGATAGCGCATGTCTGTTCTTGACCCTCTGTGATAGGTCTTCCTATCTAGGAATAGATCTAGGATAAAGTGTTTAAGAAGAAAGCCTGGTTCCATCACTTGGTTTTCCAAGCTTCCTGAGGCCCCATTGGCCCTCATTTCCAAGGTGACAGCCGTGCCGTGGTCCAGGGGAATTGGCTGGAAGGGCCACTTCCTCACCTAGCCCTCTCCTTCCATCATAGAATTTCAGCACTCCCATTGCCCCTTGGATGGAAACGCCCCACTTCAGGATTCTCCTTTCTTCTCTCCATTTCCTGCCTCTCTCCTCCATTCTCCCTCCCCCGGTATTTCACCAGAGCTGTGCTGTTGCACCTGTGGTGTGACACAGAGAAGAGAGCTGAAGGGCAACCACCCAGGGAGCTCAAGTGATGGCGGGCAGCATCAGGAGCCATGCCGGGAACGGGACAGTGCATTGAGAGCGTGGGGGGCTGCCGTGTGTGCTTGAGTGGGTGGGTGGGTGTGGGGGAAGGGGGTTAGGAGTTGGAGACTGAGAATGACCCTGGGGTAAGCTGTGTGGACATTTGGGAGAGGCTCTAGGTAGGGGGACCACTGAGCACAAGATCGATCACAGGAAGGAGAGGAATAGCAGAGGGGCAGAGTGGGTCAGGACGGGGAGTGTCCAAAGATCCTTCCAGACTCAGTAAGAGCTGTGCCCCTGGAAGCTCATCTCACTTCCCCGTTCTGTTGAAACCCTGTCTGCTCTAGACTCTGGGGGGATCTGTTTTCTTCTAGAAGCATTCATCAGGCAGACTCTGCTGGGCTCTTACCAGGAACCCCAAAATGTTTGGCTGATTATTCTTAACACTTTTTTGTTTTTTTTTTTTTTCTTTTTTCTTTTTTTTGGTTTTTCGAGACAGGGTTTCTCTGTGTAGCTTTGAGCCTGTCCTGGAACTCACTTGGTAGCCCAGGCTGGCCTCGAACTCACAGCGATCCGCCTGGCTCTGCCTCCCGAGTGCTGGGATTAAAGGCGTGCGCCACCACCGCCAGGCTTTGTTTTTTTTTTTTTTAAAAAACCTTATCTGCTTTCTATATATTCCTCCCTGGAGATATTTATTTTTATAATCAGACAACAATTATAGAAAGGATTTTATATTAGAG